AATGACTTGTTGAGCTTACAAACCAGCCCTGTATGTGGCACAGCAAGACCTGGAGGGACATCCATGTATACTTCTTCATGCAGATCTCCATGGAGAAAAGCATTATTAACATCAAGCTGGTAAATATTCCACTGTTTCTTTGCAGCAACAGCAATCAAAGCTCTGACAGTTGTCATTTTAACAACTGGTGAGAATGTTTCTGTATAGTCTATGCCAAGGTGCTGAGTATACCCTTTAACCACTAGCCTTGCTTTGTATCTTTCCACACTACCATCTGCCTTGTGTTTGATTTTATATACCCATCTACAACCAATAGCTTTCTTACCAATAGGCAAAGGAATAAGGGACCAAGTGTTATTATCATGCAAAGCAGCAAATTCCTGAGTCATGGCTGTTTGCCAGGCAGGATCAAGAGCAGCTTCTGCATAGCTAGATGGCTCACAATCATGAGCAATATTTAAAGCAAAAACTTGACTATTAGGATCCAATTCTGCAGGAGATATATGGTGTTTGAGGGAAAAACAAGCAGTTAATGTAGTAGGGGTTGTTGGTGTTGATGTGTGGTTGTCTGTGGGTTGTGAAACAGGTATAGAGTGAACATAGTCTGACAAGTATGTGGGCAATTTGTGAGTCCTATGAGACTTCCTGGTTGTTATATCAGGTTGGTGGACTTGTTGGAGAGGTGTGGTTGAGGTGTTGCTAGGAGAAGGATGATGTGGTGGACTAGAAGGTTCAGGAGGTAAAGTAGGATTTGTGTCACTTAACATCTCATGATCACACTGGACAGTAGGATCGAATGATGAATCAGAAGTGGGATATGCAGACTGATCAGTAAAACAATGAGGATAAGAAGGGAAGAGAGTAGGATCTTTAGTCATTGCAAAGGGGAAAATTGTTTCATGAAAGATGACATCTCTGGAGACATACAACCTTTTAGTGGCTAGACTCATGACCTTGTATCCTTTCATACCAAATGGATATCCTACAAAAACGTGTGGAGATGCTCTAGGTTCAAATTTGGATCTTTGGGTTTTAGGGATAGTTGGGTAGCACAAACAACCAAAACTTCTTAAGTGTGAGTAAAAAGGCTTCAGCCCATACAACACTTCATATGGACATTTGTTATTTAGAGGTACAGAAGGGAGTCTATTAATTATATAGGTAGCAGTTAGAATGCATTCTCCCCAATATTTTGTAGGGAGTTTGGACTGAAAAAGAAGTGCCCTAGCTGTTTCAAGAATGTATTTATGTTTCCTTTCCACCACACCATTTTGTTGAGGTGTGTATGGACAAGACTTGTGGTGAATAATACCTTTGGACTGAAAAAATTGGATGGACTCAGTATTGGTGAATTCAAGCCCATTATCGGATCTAATTACTTTGATGGCAGATTTGAATTGGTTTTCAACCATGGATGTGAAGGTTTTAATAACATGCAGGGCATTGCTTTTATGACTGAGTAGATGTGTCCAAGTGGACCTACTGAAGTCATCTACCAGGGTAAGAAAGAATCTAAAATTGTCATGTGTGGGTGTTTGGTATGGCCCCCATAAATCAACATGGACTAAGTCAAAAATAGCAGTGCTAGTGTGAGTGCTCTGTTGGAAAGGTAGTCTAGTCTGTCTTGCCATGGGACAGATGGGGCAAAAGAAAGGCTGTTTGGATGAGAAAACCACAGGTATTGAGGATATACTCTTCATTTTAACAAAAGGAACATGACCAAGTCTGTAATGCCACAACAAGTCTGTATCAACACCAGTGGTAACAACATTGCTATCAACAGAAATAGTATTGTCTTTATTGGCAGATGACCTATTTATTACATTTTGATGAGGCAAACAGGAATGAGAATTACATTGACAATGCAACCTATCAATTCTATGAAGTGAAAGACATGTAGTAGGATTTTCAGATGAAGTGGAATGTTTGCTCTTTTGCAGACAGTCTGAGCAAAGGAGATAAAGACCATCATGAGCTTTACCAATTTCCAGAGGCCTCTTCAGTGAAGGGGCCTGCAAGAGACAGGATGTGTTAGAGAAAGAAACAACACATTTAAGATGTAGAGCTAGGGAATTGATTGAAATCAAGTTATACTTGAAAGAGGGAATGAATAAGACATTGTACAGTGTGATCTGTGAAGTTAGTTGCACATTTCCAACCTCTGTGACCTTAACCTTATAGCCATTAGGTAATCTAACTAACATTGGTTCAGGTAATGGCAAAATATTGGTGAGATGGAGTTTGTTAAATGTCATATGGTGTGATGCACCTGAGTCTAGGATCCACAAGTTAGTTTTGGCTTTATAACATTCACATGAAAGTTTGTCAAACACTATAGAAGAAGTGCATGCAATGATACCTGCAAAGTTCACAGCAGGACTTGTTGTCTGCATGTTGCCTGAATTTTCTGCCTGAAATTGCTGAAGTAGGTAGGCAAGCTGTCCATATTGCTCCTTTGAGATGCCAATGTCCCGATTGGTGATTTGACCCCAGAGCCACATCCTTGTTCCATAGTAGAGTAACATGACAGCCCCAAAGAATTAGCTGTCACACCTTTCCCTTTGTTATTGTTTTTGTATGCCTGATTGGGACTATAATTCTCATATTGTTGTTGTCTTTGGAATTGATTATAACCTTGCTGTCCATTAGACTGAGATTTCTGAGATCGATTGTTATTCTGTGGATATCCATGTAACTGATAACATTTCTCCTTAATATGGCCTGGTCTCTTGCAGTGGTCACAGAATGGTCTTCCTCTACGATTTGGAGAAGCAGATGAGTAATTTGTTTGGAAATTCTGACCTTTTGAAGTACCTGAAACATTAGCAGCTAAAGAGCATCCTGAAGAGCTAGCAGCAAGAGAACTGGATTCAGCAAACAATTGGCTGTTTGATTTAAACTCTCTCTGTTTTTCTTCCTGTATCAATAAGGCAAAAGCTTGTGCCACAGATGGTAGTGGATTCATCATCAAAATGTTACCTCTAATTATTGTGTAAATCTCATTAAGACCCATAAGAAATTGAATCAATCGTCTATCCTGTTCAACCTTGTGCATGACATCCTTTGCTCCACAATTACATGCACAACTGCAGTGGTTCTTGATACATAAGCTACTTAATTCTTCCCAAAGTTTCTTCATCTTGGTGTAATAAGCTGTTACATCCAGAACTCCCTGAATGAGATCATTGATCTCTTTCTGAATTTGATACAACTTGGCACCATTGGTTTGATCATAACGATCCTCCAAATCAGTCCACAATTCTAAAGCACTGTCCACGTATGCTACACTATCAGCAATTTCTCTGTTCAAAGAATTTAGGATCCAAGATGTAACCATATTGTCACACCTTTCCCATTGTTTATAGTCTGGGTCTGTAGAAAGTGGTTTCTTAGAATCTCCATTGATGAAACCCAATTTATTCTTCACTGACAGAGATCTGATGATGCCTCTCCTCCAGGATCTATAACCAATTCCATCGAAAACGACTGGTACAAGAGGTGCACCTGGATTATCTGATGGATGTAGGTATAAAACACTTCCTATTTCAATTCCCTTAGTTACCTCTAGATTAGTGACTTCTACCATTGTAAT